CAAGTGTTTTTCGGACATGTTTGCTTGTGGATCCCGTTTGAGGCGTTCTCTCTAACCCGTTCTCTCTTTTGGTGGTCCTAAGGGACAATGGGAGGCTTCGGGGAGGCTGACCTTTGCGGACGGACACGCAAGGGTGCCGCACGCCTTAGGCAAAACCAGCTAAGGTCGTGTCAGAGCGGCGGGAGGGCTCGCGACTGGGCTCGCGGGAGGCGCGAGCAGTTGGAGGGCTCGCGGGAGGCACGAGCAGCAGGAGGCGCGAGCAGCGACAGCGACGAGCAGCGACAGCGGGAGCAGGAGCGACGAGCAGCGAGATCGGGAGCAGCAACGACGGCGGGTTAGGGTTGGGTAAGGGTTATATCGGTTTAGTTGGTTCGATTGAACCAACTAATAACCGAACCAGGACCGAACCAGACCTAAAATCCTGGTTCGGTCACTTGGTTTACCCAGGCGCTCGCCCGAAGCGCTCAGCGCCTGGGCTCGGGCGAGCGCCCAGGCAACGCCTGTTTGAAGCGTGCCGCCTAGGACATTAGCGAGACGCTCGGGCCTCGCCTCGCCTCGCCCGAGTGCCTAGGCGAGCGCCCGAGCGCCTCTTTCAATCACTGCTCTAGAGTGCTTGATGGTCTCCCTTTGGCTTGTTGGATTCAAGTTTCAGTTGTCATTCTTGTTAGTAGCTTTAGACTATTCTATCAAGATGTGTAAGATTATGTCTCATGGAAATAAACTCTTTTGACCTGGACTGCTCCGACTAAAATCAAATGCAGGCACCTTGGGTATTAGTTAAAATAGCATGTGCCAACTTGTAAATTAACATAACATGTCTTGATCCATGCTGACACATGCTAATTGGCAAAGTAACCCTTGGTGAACAGCATTGTCGCAATGTGAACCACATATTATGCTAGAATTAGTGAAAGCAAAACCTAAAGTTAGTGATAATATTAAATAAATGAGGGTCTCATTAAGAATCCAGTTGTCAACAGTCCCAACTTAGTGAAACAAAAAGTAAATTAAAGCAGAACCTCCAAAATCCAGACGAGTACTTTTCTATTTTATAATTTGTTCAGTGTGAGATGTTCTTATGTAATTAAATTTTGATGCAATATTACAGAAATTATAGTTAATGCATACCAGAAAGGTGATCACGCAGAGTGCCATTAGGCATGAACTCATAGACCAGCATCTACAAGAAAGAAAGAAATGCTGCAATGAGAAGGATACTTAATATGGAACATCAGTTGATTGGCCACCAACTACAATACAATGGCAGTGGAATGAACACCAATTAATTTAAATAAAACCATGGTTATATTACATGTTTTGAATAACTGTAGAAGTTAAACTTCAGTAGTACAAGAATGAGGACATTCCATAAAATTTGAATTATCTTGGTTTGATACTGGTTTCAAATATCGATCAGACTAGTACAGTAGTGGTATGCTGGATTTTATACCTACTTGTACCAATTGGCATCACTGAAAAATATTAAAAAAAACTCAAAAACCAACCAACACCAACCTAAATTGTCTGATACCAGTCCTTGATCAAGCAGGTACATACCGATTAGTTTGTACGAGTTCAATCAGTATTTAATTTCTTGCAAGGGACAAGGTAGATTGGTTATGAAAAAATGCCAGCAGCTAGAATCCTACCAAGAATTATCATCACTAGTGAAAAATGTCAATATAATTTTCTCCTAGAAGAATGTATTTAAATCATTACACTGTTCAATCCAACATGTGCTATGTCTTTGTCCAGCACAGCGGAATTGGTTCTTCAGTGAAAAATGATAGGATGTTCAGTGGGAGAACCGTAATTGAGCCACCTGCATGTTAAAGAAAGGCTACCAAACTAGTACAAATAAAGACATGAGTTGCCTGTCTTTTTAAGCATAAATTTGTGCCAATTTTTAAATGTAGGGAATACCAAGAAAATACTTATAATCCTAACTAAGAATGCATTATCAACCCAATTATGCAAACGTCAGACGGTGCAGACCTTTGTTAATATCTTGCATGCAACTATTAATGTCAAGTCAAACTTTAACAAGAAACAGTAGATAACTGGGTTGACTTGAAGGCCTAAATAAATCTTCTAGGATGCATAATTAGTGTGGAAATCAGGACAAACCTGTTCATCTTGTTCATCGCAGTATCCAACTAAAGAAACTAAATTACGGTGATGCAACCTTGACAATAACTCTATCTCTGTTGAGAACTCCTTTGAACCTTGTACGGATCCTTCTTGTGCTCTTTTTATGGCTACAGGTGTTCCATCAACTAAAGTTCCTCTATATACTTTTCCATACCCTCCTTGGCCTACTTGTGTGGAGTTGCTGAAATTGCTTGTGGCTCGAGCCATGTCTTCAAACGTAAAGCATTTTACATCATTGATTTTAATTGAAGTTCTCATTGCTGCAAAAACAGATGGGAAAAGAAAAAGAGCTCAGGAAGGATCATTTCGGTGAACTTTCACAAATGAGTTACAATAATGTTCCTACTAGGAACCCACGTTGACCTTAAAATGATTGTTCACAATCCTCAAACAAGCACAAAAAAGTTCAATTTGGCCGAGTTCAGTTCGGACCAACAGGTAGCCCAAACCGAGGAGCGGACCGCTCCAGTTTGGGAAGTTCTGGTCTGACCTAATTAAAAAAATTTAAAACTGCTCCAACTAGGGCTCTCTTCTCTGTTCATGCGCCATCCGTTGCCTACCTCCTTGCTGCCCTCCAAGTGCTACCTCTTCCTCTTCTTCTCCTCCTCTTCCTCCTCGTTCTTCTCCCTCCTCATCGTTCCTTCCTCTTCCTCTACCATGTCCTCTTCCTCCAATGCCTAGTCTCCTTCTTCTTCCTCTTCAATACATATCGATGTACTCCGATACCTATTGGTAAGAATATGCACTTCCGGCTAGGGACTGGTACAGTACCCTCGTATAAACTCACTGATGAAGAACTAACAGGATCTTTTAGCCAACAGTGATGGTAGATTGTGTCAAACATGAATAATTGTCACAATTTAATAAAAAGATTGTAGACAAGGACAACCATTGCAATGAATGAGGCTATGATTAATTTAATAAGTTGCAAGCATGCCCATATAGATGTCATATCCAAAGAGTTCTTTAGTTATCCTATAAGTGAATACTAAGAGGTAATGAGAATCAAAGACCTTGTCTGTCAGAGATTTATGTAACTTTACAAGCCATAGTAATTCTTGAATCTTTATTACACTTCATGGGGCATCACATGCAATTCATAAATTCTCAGGAAAGTCAAGTTCTTTTGCTTTTTCAGTCATCATTATTCATTGCTAATTGCTATAATTTATTTGTGGCATAACAAATGAGGTTTCATTAAGGTCCACCTTTTTAGCCAAATGCTAAAGGGCTTAAAAAGTTACGGAATGAACTGAGCATTTTCACCTGTTCCAATTCAAGACATGGCTTACCATTCGATAAGCAGTACTGGATTTACTGAATGTTAAGGTATTTGTTATGTACCTATATTATGCTAATAAACCTATCAACCAGTACCAGTATTAAACCATACTTTTTTTTTTGTATATAAAACCGACCTAAATCTCCTTTAAGACTCATCTGTGTCGCCTTCTCAGCCGCCAACCTTGCATCCCTCCACCTCTTATGATGGTGTATAGCTCTCTCTCTCTCTCTCTCTCTCTCTCTCTCTCTCTCTGTGTGAGTTGTACGGGTTTTGGCAGGTACCAACAGTACCAAATGGTACTCACACTTGGTCTATTAGTGGTACTGAACCAAGATTGTGATCCTTAGCACAAACAAATCAACTTGGCAAGAGCATGTTAGCACATTCTGGGCACCGCACAAGACCTCATACAGGTAACCCAGCAGACTAGTGCTAGTATGCTTTGATATTAGTTCTTGACAGAACCTTTTAGTTTCAACAAAAAAGACAACACTCGATAAGATAAAAGACCCTGCAAGTGATTTTTCTAGCAGGCTAGTAAAGCCAAAAAAATCATCTCATTGATCAGGAAAGGGTGGTTAACAATTGACCCATACATGAGTCACTACAGTCTCTTACATCATAAAGACTAGATGTTTAATTTGATTAAGGTGACATGGATAATCACACTGTTGCTTAACACCTTGAATTTTCCTTTTTCTCCATTCTTAAGATTTTCATTTATTATATTATGCTTGTTGTCATTCCTAGCCTTCATTCTTTTTTCTTGTTTGGCATTTCCTTAGATAATAGTGGAGTTTCACCAGCCTTCCTTTTCTCAGATGGTTCGTAAGGCTAAGATCAGCGACTTGGAAGGATCAAAACGTCCTCCCTAAATAACCTTAAATCTTATGTATAGAAAAGAAATTATAGTGTAGTTTCTCCAACAAGTATCAGAATTTTCAGAATTTAAGTTTTGAAGACATGAAGTTTGCAAGTATCACATGTCATATGCATATTACAAAAGAAAATTACTAAATTAACTAAAAGCTAAGTTATATTCTGGAGTATACACTTTATTATAATTAGAGGCATAAAGTAAAAATAAATGTTTGGAACTGGGGCTCTACATGACATAGTGTAAGAGTGTGTAGCAAGAAGGCTTATGTACAAGATTTCTAAGATGTCGAAAAAGCACATATGGAACCTATGTTGGAGATTAACTTTCCTTCTAAACTAGATCAACCAATGACAAGGAAGCCGAGTACTATAAAATGTCAGAAGATTTTATCATATACCATTCATAAGTACAGAACCATTCACAAACAAAGATTACAGAGCAAACAAATATCCACATCAGATTATGGTGATCAACAAAAGATATGATGAGAAGGGATTCACTAAATGGGCTTTCATCAAAGGAATGTGCATATAGTAATTTTCACAAAAATGGCATCCTAAATTCTGTGCAAGCATCTTCATGGAGCAAGTATGCTCTGAACTCTGAAGTATATTCCTAGAATAAAATGGAATATAACAAAGACTAAATTGACAACTATGAAGCAATACAGTGAAACAAGTCGAATTCACAAAAAAGGAAGACATTCAGCATAGGCAAATAGTTCAAACCAAACCAAGGGAGTAATGAATAGGCAAAAGGAGTGTTTTAGGCACCATTTATTTGGGATTTGTTTTTTATAACAACAGTTAAAATAGATAACAATCTCCCACACCAAAAGCTGCAGAAACCTTGGTAACTTAATAATGATCACCAGGGGCTCTTTTCAGAGTTAATTACACTTACATGATCGTTTTCTTGAAATGGCTCGATAACCACGATATCTTCTCATGATAAGTACTGTAACAGCTACAGATACAGCAATGGCACCAGCAACAGCACCCACCAAGATGCCTACCATAGCATTTTTGCTTAAACCTGACTCTGAAGTATCTGGAATATCTGCAACAGTTTTAAGAATAAAATCATTAATGACCTAATAATTATGTGAATCAAGGTTCCTAGAATTCCTTTTTCTTTATTTCTCATTCTTTCTTATTTCTCCTTCCTCTTCCTTCTTCCCTCCCCCTGCCTCCTCCACCCTGATCCCCTTCTCCCCCACTAGAATGGTGCCACAGTACATGCTGGCACACCATGCACCAATACGTCAACATGAACTGGATACATATCGATCTAGCCATCGACTGGCATAGGTCTGGTATCCAAAATTTCTTGGTGCACAGAATGAATCAAGTTCTTAAAACATTATGATTATATCCTCATGGTTTTTTGAGAGAAATTTTTTTAAACCAAATTTATGACTGATAACCACAAACTCTTCTTTAGGTTTTATTAATTTAAAAACCTTCATAAATTTATGCTATTTCATTACCGTAGTTGCAGTTGAGTATATATCAGAAAAGGATTCTCAACTGTGTAAATAAAGGGGATAATTTAAGTCACTGTCTTTTGTTGGACTAAATAGGGTGACCAAAAGTTCGAAAGGAAAAGCTTTAGAGATTGGAACTTGCAATAGAGAGCACAATTTCATTGTTAAAAATGCAGTAACCATACTCATAAAGGAGGTAGTAGTTGCTAGAGGCAATAAGAGTTACAGTGAAATTGTTCCAAATGCCACTGCCAATAACATCTGCAATTATTTTGGTTGCTGAGATAGATTTATTGAGAAACACAGTCCTTTGCAGTAGTGCAAGCAAACTGAAGGGAAGGCAAAAGCACAAAGAGTGGATCACATTAGTTCACAAGTCACAGGATAAGTGATACTTTCGGTAATGGCTGTAAGAGGAATGACTCTGATGGTGGCATTGGACAGGTATAGATCATCAGATCACTCACTTTAGTTAATAAACCTAATAACAAGTCTTTCTTGGAGTGGAGAATATATGATTTTTTTTTCTTGTTTCATATGCAACCAGCACCAACTATGACAAAAAAGTTTATCTCCTGAGCATTTTATCCCATATATAAACATATACAACTGTGGACTGAAGTTTCGCCCAGCTCGGTACGAAACGGGTGGTCTGAACTGGTTCAGAGGTTGCCCCCATTTCAGGCTGTCCAGTCCGACCAGTAAAAAAACGAAAAAAAATATTCCACGGGTTTAAGGCTCACACTTGCAAGCATTCTTCCTCGTGCTTGTACCCGCCGTCTATCGCCCGCCATCGATTTCAGGTACACCTCCTTTTCTCCTCTTCTTCCTTCCTCTTCCTCCTCTTCGTACACAATCATATGTTCATTCCTCTTCTTCTTCCACTTCCTTTTCTAGTCTTAGGTGCATTGTATCATGTATTGGTACACTAGTATTGACCGATACGTATCATGTGTTGGTACACCGATACGTATAAATTCGACCAGGGACCAATATGTCTAGTCCGTACGAGAAGGCAAACCTTGGATACAACTATGTTTGAAGACATCTCTTATGAGTTGTTGCTCCGCATTAGTTTTTACAATAGTTGAGTTGCTAGAGTCCCATATTCACAAGAGATGTGCATTCACATAAAATTTCTTCATTTTTCCAATTTTTTTGGCTATCTAGGCTGCCAAACAATGTTTTAAAAGTTGCTAATGTTAAGTACAGCAATACATTAAGATGGTTTAAGAGGACTCACCACTTGCATAAGATCCCAATGTGAAGTTAAGGAGCTCATATGGTCCAAAAACATCTGAAAGTGTAATCTCCCATCCAGCTAGCATGCCTCTGAGTCTCAAGATTTCACTTACATTGAAAACACTGACATTACTAGGAAATAACTTTAACTGCATGTTCAGCCTCGGTCCACTTTCCCATATAAAGGAGTCAATATACAATTGATAGACAAATAGGTGGAGGAGTGAAGTCAGGTTGATCTCAAAATCATTAATATATGAACGAAAGTCTGATATTCCTGGGCTTTTCAACCGAAATCCAACTCCAAGTGGTACAGTGCACAAACATTGCATAGGAGATAATGGATTGTGCTCATAATCTTTATCCACTGGGCATCGCCTACACATGATTTTAGACTTTGTTGAATTTCTAGATGCTTCGCTTATAGTCTTCAACTGACAAAAATGGACTATATCGAGTTGGTTTTCACTGTCACAGACAGGATTTCCATATAGCCTGCACATGATTGTGAACAAACAAAATGTGCTCTTTAGGCAAAATGATTTTGAGTCAGAAACTGCAAAGATGGATGTCAAAGTCTATTTACATAATAAAAGCTACTTCAACCAAAAAGCTTTGAAACAATAGTTATGGTAATCTTCTTTATCTTAGGAGTAAGAGTCATATACGATTATAAAACATCAAAAGAGAAGTTAAAAAGTATCAAAGGTGAATATATCCACATGAAATGCTTTATAAATCATAAATATAGAAAAATCATTTTATTAAAAGTCTTGGCTACATTTCATGTCATGTAAGCAAAAGAATAAGATTATAGGAATTCAAAAACTTGACATTTCCTTTTTTCCAGCATCCTTAAAGTTATTATCTTATGGACAAAGAAAAAGAATAGTCCACCCCGGGGATATATTTCACAAAATTATGACGGTTTTATTGTGTAAAGTTAATATTTCAATTTTTTTAGTTCATTAAATTATTATTGAGGTAAAATAGACTACAGTTGCCGTTGTATATGAAGGTTAACAATTAACTGCAGTGTCAAGGTAAGATTGGCATAGAAAGGGGTTTCCATTACCAACCTTGGTGACTATAATGCCTCACAGCAAAACAGCATAGTATGGGACTCACAGATCTACCACTAAGCTTGAAATTGCAGCATCAGCGACTCCAAATTGGTGCAAGCCATAACGAGTTTGACCCAATTGACATTATAAATCTTGCTTGTCGATCCAGCAAGAGGGTTGACAACCAATCAGAAATTTTTGGTCAAATCTTCCAAAACACTTCTCAATCAGAATTTTGCCATATAATGTCCCCATATTGCTTGAAAAAAACTTGGATCATATGCTTCAGGTACTTGCTGGCTTGCAGGCAACTACAGTCAGCCTTTTGGAAAAGAGGCAAAATTAAAGACAGCTATTACATGAGACTTGACCTAGGAACATATGAGTTTCAAAGACTTGCACAATCATGATGACATGATTAACATCCCACTTTATCTTACCCCAAGTCCAAGACAAGATGTAAGCAATCAGAAACCATTGACATCATGGCATTCTAAGTAGGAAATTTCAAATTGAAATTTTCTTAGGATCTTACCTACAGGGAACATTAGAACCAGAACCAAGCACTCATAAATTTGAAACCACTAAAGATGTTAGAAATGAAGATATGAAGCTCATAAAAATGACTGATTCAACCTAAATAGCCAAGAGTGGTTGCAAACATGGATTCAGGTATGTGTTTGGATTTGAGTAAGTAATAAGATGGATTTGAGTAAGTACTTAATTATATGTGCATATGTAAGTGTATAATGTGCATCTTTCAGCCAAGAAATCACTTTGTCTTTGAGCGAAAAAGGAAGTTTAATGCCAACGCTTGCCATGCCACTGGGAGTAATTTACATTATGTCTAGGATGATATTTGATAAAAAATGTCATCAATATTGTGCAGAGCCATTATTTGCCAAAATCTTCCCGTGTCTGTGTGTCACTAATTTTTAAAATCTAGATTTCATCAGGTACATATTTGTTGTATTATGTTTGCAGAAATGAATCCTAAAAGAGTACGCAATCTTTGTCTCGGTTCATCCTTTTGTTTTTTTTTTTTTGCATTCAACAAACTTTTTTATGTAAAATAGAAAGGTTTTTGAACTTAATACTGTAAATGGAGCCATGTATATTAATTTAAAGAATACACTTCTGGATAAATTGAATAATAAATCCAAATATTAGGAGTTTATAAATGTTTATATTGTATATTAAGGATTTAAAGATCATTCTGATCCAATTTGGTGTCCTATCAAATCATTATGGTATTGATATTACCAGGCAGCACACCAACCTGTACTACTCAATACCATTGAATAAAATTAAATATCAAATGACCTGTGTCAAACCAATATTGAGATGAATATTTTGACACTAATATTGGGTCAGACCGGTGAATACCAGTTGATACATATTTATCCAATCAATATATAAATCTTGATAAATATGAATATTCCTATAAAGCTTCTAAATTGTGCAGATTCTAGAGCAAATGCGATAAAGTTTATGCAAGAATCATGCCACTATGGATTTAACTCATTATGTAGGTTACAGATGAGATCCAAGAACAAAATTTGGTAATATTCATTTAAGGGAGAAACGACTATACTTGTAATATTTCAAAGATTTACTAGCTTTCAAACTGCTGTAACAGCATCTCACTAGTCAAAAATCAGAGCTCAGACCGTAATGTGTATGATCTGGGCTGATTAAGTATGCTCTGCACAATTTGGCAATACTAATAGCTCCTTATTTGTAGCACATTTAGAGAGGGCCATGACAGAGGATCAAAGAGGAGCAGGTGGAGGTAAGGGGAATTAACAAAGTGGATTGAGTTTAGGTTTGTTTTGAGAGAAACCTTTAACCTCCAGGGAGACAAAACAGATTGTGCTTGGAAGGAATTCTTTGTATGGCTCCCCTTTTCTAATTAACCATAAAGAGTAGCAATACAGAGGAGTAAATCAACTCCTATAACAGTGCAAATGCCACCTCCTCCACAACTTAATCCACTACCCTATTGATTTTAGTTTAGCTGAGCTAAAGTGGACCAAGAATAGGTTTGTTTAAAGGGAAACCTTCAACCTACAGGGAAACACAAGATTATTCTTGAAAGCATGGTTCTAAATACCACCTGGACCTGTCCATACTGGGCAGTGTATATTGTTTGAACAGCAAACTGCCACATAGACCAGCCCTTTTCAGGTGCTCCAGTTCGGTTCAGCCTCTCACCTGCCTCCCTTGTGACCCCTCATGATGCCCACCTGCCTCCTGACCCCACCAGCTCCCTGCCAACCCTAGTGCTCCTCTCCCTATTACTCCACTTCCTCTTCCTCCTTGTCCTTCCCTCCTACTACTACTACTACTCTTCTTCTTCAACTTCTCCTCCTCTCCCCCTTCATGGTACTGCAACATTTATTGGCATACCATTTCACATAGCTCCCCTTCCTTTCAGATTAACCATATATAGGGTAACATATAACAGTGGTAAATGAAAGCCTAAAACAGTGCAACTACTGCCATTTAATGCTAATGGCCTACCCCACAACTTAATCCACTACCCTGCTGATTTTTCAGTTTAGCATTACATTCGGACTTGCTAAAATATGACAAAGGTGCATGTTAAGCAAGCCTGGAATATCTGTTTTTTCATTTAATGTTTCAGATTCTTTTAAGAATGACCAATAGAGAGCAGTTAAAACCTTGAAATACCACAGAATCCAAGTAGCTTTACTTTCCCTTTCTTTGCTTTCTTTGCTATTTCTGTTCCTAGTTAAGCATAGATTTAGCATAACCAAATCCATGCACTTCACACCTGCTTGAATGCCCTTGTGCCATGAAATGAACATCATCACATCTAGTACACAGAACTTTCTGAAAAATGAGCACAAAAAGTTCTAGGAGAGTGAAACAAAGGCCAAAGAAAGACTAGACAAAAATAATAAGAAGAATAAGATTCCCTTTTTTTCTTTTCTTTTTTTCATATTAAGTTTATAGCAAAGTCAAATGAAGGCAAAGATGCAAAGTATCCACAGAATGGATGTAAGTGCATTGTCAAAAAGTGCACCTGGGTGCAAAGAGGCTTACAGGTCTCACAAATATGCATTGGCAAACCCAAGAATTCATGTGCTATCACACCACCTATTAAGTGGATGCCAAAATGATGAATACCATCAGCTGTGTTGGCTGGCATGGCTAGTGTGCTACTGAAACAAAAAAGAAACAATAAACGAGAAACATTGCACATACTGAGCCTCAATAGTGAATCAGCTTGCCGGTTTTGCTCAATATGATGAATGGCCTGACTTGAATACTTGGGCACACCTGTCATAGTCCCTATGAGCTAATAGGCACACTTAGATCTAATAAAAAATACTTCTTGATCTTCATACTTATTTATAACCTTGAATTTAATTGACCCCTTGTATTTTGCATTTTTTATTGTGAGAATATGTTGCTCGAGAAGATAATGGAAACTAAAACTGGACATTTTACAATTCCTATGAGATAAATGGCCCGCTTCTTTGTTCTAATAAAAATTACTCCTCGATCTTTCTATTTATCAATGATCTTGTATTTATTTAATTTCTAAGATCTTTTTTATTTTTTAATTGAGAAGATTTGTTGTTCAAGAAGATAACAAAGACTAAGATTGGACATTTTAATTTGTTTAGATAGAAATGGAAATCAAACTGCTACAATCATCCCTCTTTATTTAGCTTTATTTTTCTGTTGTTCTTTTGCTATGATGCTTCTTCCTTCTATTTTTTGTGTTATCATTTGGCACTTTATTTTATGCTGCTAAACCCCTATGCTTCACTTCTTTCCAGAAACCACTACCTCTGCTTCCCTTACTGCTGCCCTTGCCATTGTTCTTTCGAAACCAGTGTAGATGCTCCACTTCTTCTTCCTTCTACTCTCTTGCTGTTGCAGTTAATGCTCTTTTTTCTTTTTCTTCCTACTAATATTCTGCTGATGTGTGCTATTGTTTCATTCATGCATATGTGGAAGATACGTCTCTTTGTTAAGGCATGCCTAATTCTTCCTTGCTATTGTTCCATTTTCGTGTATGTGGAGGAATATGTTGCTTTGATAAGGCATACCTCACTCTCAATGCCTGAAGGCCCTAAACTCCAACAGGTATCAGTACCTCAATCTGCCTAGCGTGTTCAACTTTTTGGCACAAAAGATCTCCAAATACACAACTTAGAAGTTAACCATAAACTTTCACACTTGTCTCGACTCATGGAACTGGTACAAATGAATAATACTTGATATATGTTGATGTAAATTGGCACACTCAATACAGCATCTAACCTGCACAACTATTGGTGATGACAGAATAGACAAGGTGTTGGGACTGCTCAACAAGGATAGCACAACTAGGTGATACTACAGTTTATGCTAATATATTTGTGTCATGGTGCTATCATCTAAAATTTACATACAAGCTTTTGCCAACCATCATATCAGTATAGCAATCATTACAAAACTAAGCTCATGAGCAAGACAAGAATAAGAGAAAGCATCTTAGAGCAGAGGGAGAGAAAGGAGACACGCAGATCTTGATACTGGACCTATAATGGTCACCGTCCAGACCAGAATGGGTTTGATACAGCGACATCCCAAAACACAGTATGCGAACATACCATCACCAAAAAGAGGCAAGAGGAGGAGAAGGTGCGTGGCAGAAGGAAGAGGAGGAGGTAGTGGAGAAGGAGGACGAGGACGAGGCGGAGGAGCAGAGTAGTAGTAGTAGCAGTAAGAAGAGGAGTAGGAGAGGTACCAAGCAACACAACGCAAATAGGGAATCAACTAATCAAGACAAAGCAAGAGAGAGAAAAATATGATATTAGAAACTATTAAGACAGCAACAGCAAAAACATTGAAATGAGAGTGGGCTTATTACCCAAATTTTGTGGGTAACCATATGGTAACTTGCAGACTGGACCGGACCAGGTGAAAATTCTTGATCCATGTGCTAGTGAACCAGTAAATGGCACCTGATAAAATCCACCTGGGGGGGAGATTTTGAATCATGAACAATACGAAGTAAAGCCATGTGCACATAAATCAATAGTCAATACCAAGGTTCTAAATTTCGAATGATACCGCTTGTACCGAACAGTACGTATCGGTCCGCCAGCAAATCGGCAAGCGGACCACCCGCCATTGAGCGGAACACTTGATATTGCCCCAAAACAAGTCGGTAACAGTCAATTTCGACCGTGACCACCCACTACCAAGCGGTATCAGCCTGGCTACGGTGAGGGAAGAAGAAGCGTCGAGGGAGAAGGAAAAAGGAAGAAGAAAGAAAGAGCATTTGAAGAAGAGGGAGAATCGGGAGAACCACGACGTTTCCCGATGCGTCACCGCCCTCCCTCAATGATCCCGATCTAGGAGGTAACGGCCAGGCGATGGCTAGAGCAACAGAAGAGGCGGTCTCCTTCATTGCCTCGTTTGCGATTTTGTGGCTTCTTCTTCGCCGAAGGCAGAAAACGTCTACGACCTTTGACGTCTTCGTTGCCTTCTTCGCCGAACACCGTACATGAGGAGATGAAGGAGACTGTGTTCTTCTCCTCGTCTAAGGCGACGAGAAGAGGAGGTGACATCGCCGAGACAGCATACGCCACCTTTTTAGATTTTTTTTTAATATTATTTTTATATTATATTATATATATATATATATATATATATATATATATATATATATATTAGATGTACCATTCGGTACGTCCTGGCATACCGCTCGGTACTCCTGTACCATACCATACCGAGTAAATCTTGATATATCAGTACGGTACGAAATTTTAATCCTAAATACATCATAAAAAATCTGGATTAGGAGGGATCTAGGATGATATTGAGTACATTCACATGCCATAGATCAATACATCATATAAAATCTGAATTAGAACGCCACTAGATAGGAACCTTATAATCATAACATTTGCAGCGGACAGGTAAAATAAAACAAAGGGAGAGAAACTTCCCTTCAAAAAGGAAAAACAAAAAAACTTTATGTAGATGGAGACAAAGAAGAGAAAATTAACAGGAAGCATGATACGAATTATGAAGCACATCTACATACATGTAAATCATGACAATCTGAAGATCTTAAATATTAAGTCAATAGCACAAAATAATGCTTAAAAATCAACATACAAGATTGTGACATTTGCAGGAGGACTGTAATCATCTGATATATCAGTGAGAGAATTGTTCTGGAAGTCCCTACACAGCATACAGAATTTGTCAGATAGTAATTCATAAAAACAATAAGAAAAAAATAACTATATTTTCTTTCCATAAGGTCATACAAGAGAAGAGTGTCATTTGTGTTAAAAGTCATATTCTGCCAAATAGAGGACGGAACAGAGCCAGTAAGTAGATTGTTTGCAAGGGACCTGCAAATTAAAAGAGATGACAGCAAGTAACAGAATATGGTATATAAATATAATGATACACATGAACCATCCAAGTAATGGAGTTACGTTCATGGCAGAGTTTTACCATACAAGGTTGTAGATTTCTTCAAAAGAATGAGAAATACAAAAATAATAATAATTCAGATAAAATGCAAGATAAATTTTACTTACAATTTTTGGAGTTTAGGCAGTCCAGAAAAGGTTAAAGGTATAGTTCCATTAAGGTAGTTATGTGATAGAACACTGCCAAAATTTTAGAAAGTAAGGGACCACAAGAACTCATCAATGTTATAGGAAATTTTAATTCATACACATAAAGCATGCAAATAATGCCAATATGAGAAATGAAAACAGGAGTGCATATACAAGAACAGTGGAAAAAATTACATGCCAGAGTAGAGAAATATGACATACATGGTAGTTATATCAATCGAAAGTTTAGATGGTAATGGCCCCTTCAACTGGTTCCAACTGAGATCCCTGAAATATGAATGCGATGAATAATTCCTTAGAAAAAAGTATAAAAAAAAAAATAGCATACCAACTGATAAGGACATTTAATCCTACATTGGTTGAAGAGTAGGTGAACAAAGGACTCATAAGTCTACCAGGTCACTCTTACCCTCAGACTTGGCTAGACAAAATTAGAATACGAGATTGAGAGCAAATATAAAGAAAATAATATGGTTCCACTTCCATGTGCATAGTTCATGCACGTGCAAACAGAATAAGTCCGAATGTGGATAAAGATACAGCAAGAAAAGAGTGTATGGAAAAACATCACATGCTAGACTTCTATGATATCTGTTGTCCAGCAATGATACCTTTGTGAAAAGTTTGATACATAATAATATGATAACAAAATTTAAGATGATAGAATCAAGGGGTTAGAGAGCATAACAAGCATCAGGCTTCCACTGACAGGCTATCAAGTTGATAGTATCAACCAAGGTATACAATTTCGTATTGTACCGGAGTTTCGACGTTCGCTCGGTACGGTACGAAACTGTATACCGAGTGGTATACTGCTCGGTATATATATATATATATATATATATATATTATAAAGGCGACGTCGCAAAGCCTCGGTGACGTCACCTTTTCCTTCTCCCACCCACGCGGGGCGACGTCGCCTCATTTATATATATATATATATATATATATATATATATATATATATATAAGGCGACATCGCCGAAAAAAGCGATGTCGCAACGCCTCGACGACGCGACGTCGCCTGTTATAAAATATTTTTTTTTGTTTCGCTCGATAACGGGCAGTCCATGTACCGGTAAGCTGACGGACCGGTACGTACCGCCCGTACCGAACGGTATTATTCGAAATTACATACCTTGGTATCAACTATCAAATAAAGGAACTTATTAACTTGAAAGTTTCATTATAAGTGACAGGTTTTGCTCCGAAAGGACAAAACCATATGGGTATGCCCACCGTCCAAAGCGGACAATTCCTTGCGAGCCTACGGGCCACACCAATGGTTAACTTATTACTGACTTAACTAATTTTGGAGAAATTGCAATATTGGATTATGTCTGGGTTGGACAAAATTAGAATACAAGGTTGAGACAGCAAATATAAAGAAAATAATATGGTTCCACTTCCATGTGCATAGTTCATGCATGTGCAAGCAGAATAAGTCCGAATATGGATAAAGACACAGCAAGAAAAGAGAGTGTATGGAAAAACATCACATGCTAGACTTCTATGATATCTGTTGTTCAGCAATGATACCTTTGTGAAAAGTTTGATACATAATAATATGATATCAGAATTTAAGATGACAGAGTCAAGGGGTTAGAGAGCATAACAAGTGTCGGGCTTCCAGTGACAGGCTATCAAGTTGATAGTATCAACTATCAACTATCAAGTAAAGGAACTTACTAACTAGAAAGTTTCATTATAATATGAGCTTATTCTTGGTCACTCTGATGAGAATTTGCAGACTTACAAATAGCCCAGTCGAGGTATCTGACTCAAATCTGGAATAGCTCCTTGCAAGCTGCAGTTTCTGAGACTCCTGGAAAAATTTAAAATACAATATCTTATTGTCAACGTTTTGAAGACTAATCACATCCATCTATGAAGCTGAAAAGTACACAACAAGTTGTTAAAGGAATAAATATGACAATTAAACAGACAAGTCTAGAGATATGGCCAATTTCTTTTCATCTCCAATCCATAAACATATGAAACAGAACATAACCAAGAACAAATCATTTTAAGATTCCACGGAATGTACCTCCAACACAACTAAGAACACATCACATTTTAAGGTACCAGGAAATGTACTTCCAAATTGAGAAGATAATATGAATTAGTGAAGAGAGATGACATATAAGCAAGGTCAATAAAACAATCCACTTAAATTCTCGAACTGCTTAGATGATTGTGTAGCTAATCAGAAACTATGAGAATTTTAAAAACATCGTTTAAATCTGAATATATATATTTTTTATGGATAGCAATAACAGCAAGGTAATTAGTTTTTAATCAGTTATTCTTGCTTATAAGATATTGCAGGTGATATTTTATATAAGGATAGTTTTCATTGCTTGTTAGACAGTTTCTTTTAGTTAAATACATGCATTTTTTGAACTTCATGTTAGCACGAGTATGCTACAAAAAGAGGAATATATGGGATGATATACACTCAAACCCAGTGTTCATTTTGTCATTTAGAAACAGTCTGTTAGATTCATTAGCAATGTTTCTGCTCACTAACATTTCAGTAATTTGACTGTTCACTGTCATGCAATTACTACATGTATTAATTTATCTAGGGTCAGTATGTAATACTTGTTAAAAAAGAAATCTATTTGTTGGATACTTTTCTCCCTACTACGCCCTACAACCACATATACTTCCACTATTTGCCTTTTCCATGCTCTCTCCTCCCTCCTTTACTGCTTTGACTCTAGTCATTTTCTTCTTTTTTTTTAATGCAACTCTTACAAATTGTTTCACCATTCGCCTGAGGACTTACTGGATCATTAGTACTGGCCACAGTTGGTGCATTAGTACTGGCCACAGTTGGAGAATAATTTTCATAATTCAACATTTTGTCATCCAAATGCCAACAGACCACCTCATAAAATACCTGCATGGTTCCCTTTATGGCTACACAAAAAGATATTCCAATTCATAAGGGAATGTCATTGCCATAAACAATTAGAAATTATTTGAAGAAAAAGTTCACATTAGGGATCAACAGGTAACATCAAACTACTTTGAATTTGGTGGAGAACTAAAAGGATCAAGATGTGGAAGACAGAACGGATCTACTATTTCTGTCTATGGTTGGCTTATTTGGTAGTAGAGAAACCAAGTTACCAAATATCTTTTCAAAGTGGTTCTCTGGTTGTCCAATGAAAGTGCAGGACAGCAGCTCAAAATCAGGTCCAGTCGAACGTGCAAAGGCTGCTTAGCTTAAGGAAATAGACTACATTCAGAGGAACTAGATAATCATTCAGAGTTTTCAGAGGAAATAGACTACATTCAGAGGAAATAGATCTACTACTTCAGCTTGCTGGCTGGACACTTGGTCAATCTTAGTGGTTTTCAGGGTTTAGCTTTCACAATTCCAGATATGTCGGCAACAGATAATCATTCAGAGGAACTAGACTACATGTTACAGCTTCCCATTTCATTTGGTAATATGAAATCAAAATTTAAATTCAAGGCAGAAAATTAAGACCTTACAATTTTACAAGCATTGTCATGTTGCTGAAAGAAGCTGGAATGGAACTGCCACTGAAATTGTTATTATCAAGCTGACTGCAAACAGAGACAAAATAATTACATCAGTTGAGTCGAAAAAGGATATTTTTTTGCTCAAAAATGTAAATCCTATCAAGACAACTCTTGGAACAATTTTCTTTGAGCATGCATGTGGCTTTTGTTATGTTGTGTGAAGCACTGGTGAGGAATGAGTTTTACCATGTGACAGCAGCAATGATCCTTCCAACAGCCTCGTGGCAAACACTCATCAACTACAAAAGCTATAAACTCCTCTATACTATGAAGGTTTTCTTTCTGGAAGATTTACCTCTAAGAAGATTTTGTCATTTGTTCCTGTGACCCTGCTTTCCCAATCCTCTTTCTAACCTGCTGTTTTTCCCTATTTGTAGTGCTTAATTTCATCCTTACAATGAAATATGAGTGCTAGGCCTTAGCTAGTAGACATACATATAGACATTATTCACTAATGTAGATAAGGCTTGCAAAGGAAGTTACAAGGTAGGAATTGAACTCTACACTGTATGGTTCCTGTAATGCTGAGTCTATTTCTTTTTGTTTGTGTGAAAGCAAAACTCCTGTAATATGCATATAAAAACTTTATGTTCGAAAATTAATTAGATGAACTTGTATATTAATTAGGATTACTAATTAACATTATATAGGGATCCCTGAGTAATAATTAAGGAGAAGGATTAATATAGGATATTAGTTAGTATCATTAACGAGGGAGGGAAACATTAATCAGGAAGAGAGTTTAATCAAGAAGAACTTAATTCCTGAACATTAAATAGGGAGGATAATTAATTTAAGATACTAATTAAAAATTTTAATTAGAGAGAAAAACTGTACAAATTCTACATGATTTTTTCTTCATTATTCCTAAACCAGTCCATATGTTGTGTGGGATAGTGACTAGCTAATCAATATATAGGTACTCCATAGGAAGTTGCTGAACTAAAAAAGACTGCACTTTCCTATCTTTAGATTGGCAAAAAGCAAAAGCTGAAAAGAGCATAGTGGATGAGGCTTCTGCTTTTGTTTCTTAATTTGAACATGATGACTGGCTGGCAATAGAGCAACCCTAACAACTAGTCAAGTTGCATCTTTACCGAAGCAGAATTACAGAACTAACAATGATTCATAAATCTTAGTAGCTCAGAAAAAGGTCAAATTATCTTCCAATGGTTATCATGCTGAGAATACAGAAATATGTTAACTGGCATGTATCTTTCAGGCTGGAAAACGCCCAAGGGATGAGCCTATGCTAATGCCCACACAAAGATGTGGCATGTAATATTCAGGCATGGCGTAACGTAACATCCGTGTTGCATCACATGCCATGCCAGGCACTTACTGCCTGCCATGCCATGGTAAAGCAATTCATTGTCATTTATTATTCTAGAAAGTTGTCTCAATCAAGGAAAACTGACCACAAAGGTAAACTAGAAATTCATTTGGAGTTTCTTGATGCTATATCCATTTGCTATGTTGTGTATATAAGGTGAGACTGATATCCCTTTCAAACAATGGCATCCTTGCCAATTAAATCACCATGATTGCCTCATGACAGCACCATCAAACATCACAATTGACCTATTACTAACCCACTGGCATTCATATCATTGTGGGTTGTGATTGACTTCAATATCATTTAAAAAGTTCCTCACTCAAAAGGGATAATCAAATGTTTAACTTTGTGTTCCTTATCCCTATAAGTAGCCAAGCAAAGATTGTCATGAGACTCATGACAATCAACACATACTGACAGTGACCCAAACAGACTGTGCCATTCAAGACATCTCATAAGGGACTAAATACATGCCCATGTGGTACTCACATACTTCCCTTAAGCCTGCATATCATTACCAAACTTTCAAATATGATTGTGATCATATTTCATTAGGATATCATGAGCTAACTTTTTTCAACTTTGCAATTTGAGGAATATTATTTAATCTGTAGTTCTCATTCATATATACATACATACATATATATACATGCATATACATATACATATATACATGCATATATACATATATACATATTTATATATGTATGTATGTATATGGACGCAGAAGCTATATATACATACATACATACATATATATATATATATATGTATATATATGTATGTATGTATGTATGTATGTATGTATATATATACATACATATATATAGCTTCTGCGTCCATATATTTGACTACTTTTAATGTAAGGATACTGAATTTGATGTCAGATTTTCTATCCATCAAACACATGATTTTTTACACTGTTAACAGAATACATGTGGCCAGCACAAATGCTTCCCCATAATATACCAAGAAATTGAAGGAGTGAAAGAAAACATAACAGAAAATAAAAGAAAGAACATGCAATAAGGAAAACAGAAAGCCAAGTGCTTCACCACTGATGTTGCTGAAAAGCAATATGAGGGATTCATCAAGGATCTAAAACATGAAGTGAAAGAATGTGCAAAATATCATGCTCGGACTTTTACTTAATCTATTTAGCATGGTTTGCAGTACCGGTCCGACAGGCTTCCGGTACGCGGACCGCCTGTTACCGGTCCGGTACTGTAGCAGTACAGCACTGCTACAGTACTCGGCACGCCTGAATATATCGCTCAGTACACCTGGGTGTACCGAGCGGTATACCGTACCGGTACCGAGCCCAGGTCGAAACTCCGGTACGGTACGGTATTGCGAACCTTGCTATTTAGTTTACTGGTCTATGAAAAAATGTGCAATGAACTTACAGTTTCCATTAATCATGTTTTAATAACGGATATTAGAGAAACCATGATTATGTAAGTGAACCTGTGCTGAATCTAGGATCCAAGAAAATGGTCATAAAGTGCATGATAATTTTAATTTCAGAAGCAACAGAACCTGATGTTTCTCACTGCAACAAACTTGTTAAGGGAATCATTTGGTTGAAAGCAAGGATTGCCATTTCGGGTACCAGACTCGTTCAGCAATTTGTTGGACCGGTGCGTACCGATCTCTATCAGTGTACTGACACATGGTATGTCAGTACGTACTAATGGTTCGACGAGGAAAAAAAAGAGAGAAGAATGAATGAAAAAGGGGGAAGCAGAAGTGGAGGAAGATGAAGAAGAAAGAAGAGGAGGAAAAGAGCAGCGGTAGCGTACCCAGGAAGCAGCGACAGCGACAAGGCAACGACAGCATCGAAGCGACAACAATAGTGGCAAGGAAGCGTCAAAGCACTAGTGGTGGAGTGGCGATGGCAAGGTGACAACATCTACACGAGAAGAGGGCTCGCGAAAGCACTGATTTGGACAGGGCCCCACCATTTTTTTTTAATTTCTTATTAATTTAACTGGACAGCCCGAAACAGGGTGATCCGCATATCAGCCCACGCCCGGACCGGTACATACCACCCATACCATACCATTTCGAGCGACATAGTAAACGTTGGTTGAAAGTCTAATACAAAAAAGTAAAACACATAATGCCTTAGTTAATAATGTCATATTTATAGTCAGAAGATAACTCCATTCCCATTTGCTTTGTTTGAAAATACATTACCTAATATAGGTTTACTCTACCAAAACCATAAACTCGAGGACCAAAGTTATGGTGTTAAACAACAAAAATATAAAGTTCAGTATACAACATGAAATCGTTTATCAATATTTAAAAGTACTTACAGGATTTTCAGAGATGGCAGGGATGCAAGTTCTGGTGGAAGATATCCAGAAAAGTTATTGTTATCCACTAGGCTGCAAAGTCACACAAGGAAAAACAATAATGACTAGTGAAAACTTACACAAGGTTAAAAATACAGCCCATCAAAGACTGGGAACACAAGATTAAAAATATAGCCCATTAAAGACTGGGAATAGAAGTTGTAGAACACTCACAAATGATATAAGATTGGCAGTCTAGACAACTCTGGTGGAATTTTCCCACTCAACGAGTTGTTGTTCATGTGCCTGACACAAAATAAAGCAAATGAGAGAACGAGTAACTCTTGGCAACTATATGCAACTAAGTTCAAACACACTCACAGATGCTTTATTTTTCTCAAATTAGCGAATGATTTAGGTATTGGCCCAGAAATTTGGTTCTGGTCTATTTGCAGCCTATTCAGATTATAAAGGTTACCAATCTCATCAGGTAAAGGACCAGAAATAAGATTGCCATTTAAAAGCCTGCAATTAGAATATAAAATGCTGTAAAATCAAATTATTCATTATGAAAAAAGAAAAAGCATAATAGACACTTCCATCTGGTAGACAGCACATGTAACAGTAAAAGGTACCTTATTTTCAACACAGCACAAAGAAGCTACTGAGAACTAGGAGGTAAATGCATCTGAAAGCAATGTGCATATCAAAGATTACATGTATGTGATTAATAATCCAAGTTTTGGATACAAGCTTACAGAAGTTTTAAGGATGTGATGTTGCCTATCTCCTTTGGGATGGTTCCATGTATGCCGTTCCACATAAAATCCCTTCAAAAAAAGGAGGAAGGAAATAAATTTATTAGTAATCCACACTGCTCAATTAAAGAGCAACGAAAATATTGTGAGTTAACCAACAAACACCCATATCCTATCATGCATGATGAATCTAAATTAGCTACAGCACAAGAGGAAGTTCAAAATTTGACATCTTATAGAACTCGAGCAACATTAAAACTCACAATATTTCCAAATGAGACAGAAGCCCAAGCTCAGGCGCCAGAGTTCCCGATAGATTTAACTTCAGCAGTTGCCTGGATAGAAAAATAAATGTTAGTACAAAATAAGAATATGCATATATATGTCACCGTAGTAGCTAATACTGAATCTAAGTAGCTTAGATGTCAGAGTAATCAATTGCTTCACTGTCAAATGCATTGTTGATGTTTAAGAAAAGATGTCATATTGACTAAAGAACTTTATGTTTGGCCTAGGATGTACAGAACTAAAGGACATCCTCACGATCACAGTAAGTTCTGAGTCTAGTCAGGTACATGAGCTAGCCACATGTCTCTGCCATATGGACCTCAACTGTTCAGTAGATGATATGTGTCCTAACTCCTAAGAAAGATTAGTACAAGTTACCATGTATGTGAACCTTCCAGAAAAAATGAATTTTTATCTCATGATATCACCAGATGTGGCTGGGGAAAAAGAATTGCATGCCTATTGCCTAAGAATCTTTTTCATTAATAGAGCAAGGTAAATTTTATCTGTATACACCAGGTATATAATCCGGTGGGTACATGCCATCATATGACCATACTAGTGACAGAACAGGGGGCATCATGTCATTTTTTTTGCTTAATATTTTAAGACAGATTATTTCATCAACTGAAACAGTAAACTATCATATAAAAGGGATGCCAGTGTCTTAAAACCCAATCAATATTCTCGTGGCTTTGGGCCATGAAGGCAGCTATCCAAAATAAAAAAGAATGGTCCATATTAGTTTGCAGCCAGTTATCCACCAAGTCAATGACAATAGCTACTCAACCCATCAGATGTAGCTACTCAACCCATCATTCATATTAGGTACATGAATGAGAGTCACTTATTTGCTTTCTTGCTAAATGCAAGGTGGTAATACTATAATACAAGAGGAGTCCTTTCTCGATCTACCCTATACCCACACTCATCAAAACTTCACGGGGAAGTGGCTCCATAAAAAGTGTCTGCATGATCATATAATTCCTTAAGCAAGGACATCATGATACATTGATTTATTTCCTCATAGTACAAAGATAAATATATATATATATATAATAAGACAAGACAGTACGCAATGGAGACATGCAATGGAATCAGGTACAATAGTACACAGTAAATACAGACAAAAACATAAAATGGCCTTTATTTATTTCCTTCTACATACAAGGATCCAAACCTGAGATAGCTACAAGGATATAAAAGTAAAATCAATGTCAGATAGTACATTTTCATCCAGAAATGCCATTCAAATTATTTTGTCTTGGTAGATGGGTTCCATTTAAAGAATTGAGGGGTTCTCTTATGAAACACATCATGGGCATGACAAATGTGCATATAATGGTTAATATTCCTCACGATATAACTACAGCTAGAAAAAATTGATCTTAGAAAATTTGAGCTATTGAAACATGATCACTCTTCTGTATAGTTAAAACAGAAAAATTAAAGAGCACTAGTTTCCTTATCCCTTAGTTTTAACATTTAATGACATCTAGATAAAATGAGTGGTTTCAAGAAAAGAAAAAGAAAAGGAAATAAACTATATATTAACAAGGATAAAGTCCTTTTGCGATCTTAACAAACCATGCAGAAACAAAGTCACAAAAGGAACTTTAAAGCCTCCATCATACATTTCTCGTATATGCAGGTACCCATCTTTTGGTGCAGGATAACAAAATATTCCTGTCCAGTTTGATGTACATGGATCTCCTTTGCTCCAAGATTTGAGGTTGTTCATGTTATCAATCAAACTGCCCCTGATAATCCTTAATGCACTGACTGCATACAGGAAAATTGATCATCATCATTTCATGAGTAACCTTCTGAAAGGAAACATATAAGATTTTGTTTCTGATACAAACATTTGCTCTAACCTGTGACATTAGGTCATATGTAAACAAAAGCAAGGTATGTAAATGCATGATGAAAATCAATTACCATTTTCCTTACTGCAGGTGTCATCTCAGGAATTCAACTGTGCACATAAATACATCTGTTTGTGTGGTCCATATGAAGTTGTAGTAGTTGCCCACCTTTTTTTCTTCAGACCAAGGTTCACAATTTTGTATACCAGTGGTGCACCAGACAAGACTCGAACTAGTGCTGTGCTGTACCAGTCCAGCATCTGGTGGACTGGTACCGAGTGTCTGTCTGCCATATGTATCGAGTTTCGAAAAAAGCATGAAAAACACCTACAAAAAACAAATATAAACTGCCAGGTACAGGCCCTGTATTGGTTGTATCTGGTGGTACATGCCCAGTGCTGGGTTTACCATCCAGTTTATCCTGGTCCACATAGCTGTGGGCTATTAGACTAGTAAATACCATTCATACTGAATTATACTGTGCAATATTGCATACCTTGCTTCAGACTAAGTTTTCAAATGGTTGTTGCTCATTGTTTACAAAAATCTAGTAGGTTCTGGTTTCTTCTATTGTTGTTTCTAATTCTATGCATCTCCCCTGCATGCCTTCTTTCTAATTCTCAGCTATCCAAGTTACGTATATCTGTCACTGTTTTTTTAATCTGATTGCCAGCTTCTGCAAGAAAATGAAACTCACTCGAGCAAATAATTATTGATTAAAGTTCGACCTTCCTTGGGCACGTGGCACTCACCATGAAACCTGCTATTCATTGTCCATGTGAATATCATTTGCTTCTACATGTTGGTCATGCACCTTTTTTCTTGGACGGGAAAGATGGGGTAATTATTCCATCAGATTGTCAGACCAAGAAAAAAGGTTATGCAATATCATATAACATTACATAAGATTAGCATGCCAATAGTGATATGGTTGATTCCTCAGACTAGCGTTCAGAAAATGACTTCACGACCTTGAGAAAATTAATTTCTTAAGACTCATAATATGCTAAAATGTGAATCCACGACAAGAATATTATTGTGCATCAAAACATTTCACAAGGCAAGCATAACTGTCTTTAGCTAAAATTGAATGGAATACATGGCTAACATTAAAACTTGATCACTTAGAAACGTACTTTCTAATGAATCCGTACTCCATGCTTGTGCGACATGCAGAATGCAAGTAGGTGATATGGTCATAATAGCCCCATAAAAGATAAGAAAGACTCCAATCATCTTGAGCAATATCAAGTTATCAACAAACTCCAAATCAGAAGCTGAAAAGAGATCGAATGTTAGATCCACTTTCTTTCAAATAAATTCATCAAAGCTGACAAGAAGATCAGCATCAAAGCAAGTGCAGAAAATAAAAAATTTGTAACTTTACGTTTTTTCTGTGTTCAATGTCTCAAGCAGTAAGCATAAGGAACTTAAACTCAGGTCTAGACAGCATACTGAGCAGAAGAAATAGTCACATATCAAAGGATGTGACAACAAAAGAATACCAAGCAAATGCCTAATTTCTTGGAGGAAAGCTTCATAAATCCTGAATTACCCTCGCTGACCCTAGTCATATCCAACTCTGAAAAAAATCAATTTCATAGATACCACATGTCTCTGTGCTAAACCTTCAGTCTTAAAGATACCATATGCTTCTGCTCTAAACCATGACAGAGGTGCCAAACCTGAATGCTACCAGGCAAACAACCACAATGGAATCCAAATAAAAAACAATAATAGAGAAACCGATTTCAAGAACACAGGTCTTTAAAGCTACATCAAGAAATCGACGATCCAAACACCATCTACACAACCAAATCATGCCCTTCTAAAATATTGAACCGAACCACTGACGCCCACGCTTAGAACATAACATCAGACACTGTGAACCTGAGTGTTGTAGCCAACTCTGACTAGATCAATCTTAAAGATACCACACATGTAACCTGCCAAAAGCCTCGAATCTGAATTTCACCAGAACAAAGAACCACAGAGGATTCAGGTCAACGAGAACACAAGGAAGCCATTTTCAAGAACCCAGGTTGTCAAAGCCGAATCAAGAAATCGACGAATCAAAGACTATGCACACACGATTAAATCATCTCCTACTCGAAGAAAGATGAAGCTCGGAGTCCAAGATTAGACGCACCAGCAGGCGACCAAGAAGCCAAAATGTGTTTGACGGATCTCAAATACGTTAGGTCGAGCGTTACCTTAGCGGACTGCGGAAGCAGAAGAACAAGAAGAGGCTGTGGCACGGACAGAGACGGGGCACGCTAGGTGACCGATGTGGCACAAAGAATTCAAATCAACAAGCAAATAAAGAAACCAATTTCACGAACACAGGTCTTTAAAGCTTCATCAAGATATAGGTGACCCAAACACAATCTACACAACCAATTCATGTCCCACTAAAACAACGAACCGAACCGCCCACGTCAACGCTTAGAACTCACCGGTAGAGATCCCAGACAGCACCGTGAGCAGACACCAAGAGAATAATAAGCACAATGCTTGGTTTTCTTAAAGGAAACACTCGTGAATCCTAAATTACCCTAGCCATCTCGTGCAGTATCCAACTCCCACTAAATCAATCTTAAACATACCACACATGTTCTCAAATCTGCATTCTACCAGAACAAAGAGCGACAGAGGACTCAAATCAACAAGAACACAAGGAACCCATTCTCAAGAACCCAAGTAGTGAAAGCCGAATCCAGAAATCGACGAATCAAACACTAGGCACACACACGATAGAATCATCTCCTACTCGAAGAACGAACTGAAAGCTCGGAGTCCAAGATTAGACGTACTGGCAGGCGACGAAGAAGCCCCAAATGCTCAAACCCAGGCGAGTTAGGAGCGCGATGCCGTTCCCGATGTGTGGAAACGCACAACGCTGCCAAGAACCATCATGGGGGCCGAGACCGGGAGACTTGGAATTCTTCCACACTGGTTTAATGGATCTCAAATAAGTTAGCTCGAGGGTTACCTCGGCGGACCGCGGAAGCGGGAGAACAAGACGAAGCTGCGCCGCGGACAGGGACGGGGTGGCACATTAGGTGACGGAGGTGGGACTGCTTGTTTATTGTAGACGAGAGCGACGCGGGGCGGTAAAGAACGGGTGCCAAGAATGGCTCGTGTGTTGCGCCGAGAGGGGGGGAGACAGGGATAGTTTTATGGGCCACCAGGCGCGAGTCAAGTCACGAGGATATTTTCCTGTTGAAGTTTAAGACCGTATGCAGGACGATGCTTCAACGGGGCCCACAGGTCTTTTCTTGGATTTTTTTTTTGTTCATAGTCGGTGATTTTACATTTTGGATTTTTTTTTTTGTTTATGAGTTTCTGATTTAATGAGATAATTAGCATATTAATTTTTATTAAATTTAAATCACTAATTTAAATATTTAAATAAAAATCAATACTAATATATTCATCAAATTTTTTGAATTAATTTTATTCTTAGTTCATATGAGATTAAATGGAAAGAATACACTTATAAAAACTGACTCATGGTCTTTCTTCACTATACATAATAAGATCCAACTCCAAGTTAAAATGAGGCATCTATTAAAGGTGGGTTTGACTCAACTGTGAGTTGCTTAAGATGAAAAAATACCAACTAAATTAGTTTGACTTCACGGGCGTTCGTACATCCAATTATATGTAATCGTCACTTGTGGATTATTTTATGTAATCGTCAAACACTTAGTTGATGGTTACTCCATGACGATCTGTTTCACCGAGACACCATATCAGAGACGATCAAAGGTTACATACAACAACTAGTATGTGCTGACTTTTGCATTACCGTAAATGCTGACATGCATGCAAAATCCGACTTGGTATTGGATCGAAAACGATATTTATTATGCTCCGATAATAAATATCTTCCTTATTCGACATGGAAACTATTGAGACGATCTCATCCCCTTTTCTTTTTTACATGTGATATATATTTATTTTAATAATAATAATAATAATATTACGGAGAACGTAAGAAAGTTCCCCAAAGTTCGGAGTTCTATAGTCAACTTAGACTTTTGAGATCCATCTCATCATCCGATCCACAAGAGTCTTCGTCACGAATTTATCCCTTGATTGACTTGTTCTTGGCTGCTCTCTTTTGTCATAAATGAAGCGAATGAGTGATGCAAAATTAATCCATTTCTAGTCCTATGGATCATATTGCTCTTCCATCCACCAAGTTTTCCAACTCACGTGGCTGCGTAATTCCACAGAAATGCTGGCATGAATGAGAAAGGTAATAATTTGAAATGCTATTATATA